AAGACTCCCAACTCACAATGTGGCTAACTGGAGTAAACGCTGTATATAAGAAGCAGGGAACCCCCGACCACAGCCTAAGAGCGTGTTTGACAGCAATCGCATGTGTGTATAGATGGATATTTTCCTCCCATTAGCTGTGACCTTTTGAAAATGAGCAAAACTCGTTATGGTTTAACTCTCCTTAATTTATCTTTTGACACCCTAGCCACTACTTGCAGAACCCCACCAGTAAGGGTGGGTTTAGCTTTGAGCATTTTCCACGAATCAACCACATTTGACAGAGCGTGTAAACAAAAGAAGCCTGAGAAAATAACACGCCAGCCCCCTCCCGCCACCCAGGCTATGCCCTCCACCACCACCTGTGCTCTCGCTCTCTGTGCCCCCTCATTCAGGGCAGCCCAGGCCCAGTGCGGGAGGAAGTTGCTCAGAAGTTGGAAACCACTGGAGACACTGCCTAGTAGCGCCTGGCAGTGAAGTCAGCTGTGCAAAGCTCTCAGTGATTTGCAGGTTTCCCCTCTTTGCTTCTACTCTTTCCCAATATAGATATAGTTCCAGGTCTCTAAGGAGAGGGCTGGATATTTGGCCTAGAGAATCTGCTCAGATTCATCGGGATCGAGGAGTAGATCTATCAATCTTTCTTCTATCTGTTGGGTCTTATTCTGTTTCCAGATGGGAATCTCTACTTGGTTTCCAAAAGGAACATGTTTCACAGAAACTGAAGCTGATTGTATAGAAGCAAACAAAAAATTTTGCCAATTTTAATTGAGATATTGTTTTAATTGTAACATATGGAAGTTTTTACTTTAAAGGGATTAGTTAGAGAAAATACAAAAATATACAATCTCTTATTTTTTTTTTCACCCTCTACCATAAATTGAACGTGTTGTTTTATGCCTATGATTGCAGAAGTACAGAGATGCATACAAATGAGTGTGATACATGTTGGTCTTTTTACTCAGTAGAAGAAATGGTCAAAGGACGGGAACAAATATTTCACAGAAATAGAGATATAACTTTCAATATATGAAAAGATGCTTCTCCTCACTCAGAGTAAGAGAAAAGTAAATTAAAACAGTATTGAGATACTACTTTTCACCTGTCCGATTAGAAAGACCTGAGGCACACTCTTGGCATTGGCCAACACGGTGGTAGAAGTACAAAATGGCGCTCTCGCGATTGTGGGCAAGTTGGAAATACCTATCAAAATACCCAACACACACGTTCAAAGTGAGAGAAAACAATGTTGTAATTTCAGCATTTCTTATAAAGCAGAGGGCTGGAAATGAGCCACTGGTCTATCACAGGAAGCTGACTGTATAAGGTGTTGACATTCACCAGTGAAATATCATGCAGCCATCTCAGTGTCCCTCTACACTGACGTGAAAAGAGCTGTAGGATGTTTAAGGGAAAAGAGAAGTGCAGAATAATGTATATCGTTCACTACCTCTGTGTAAAAAACAGGGAAATAAGAATATATATATACAGGTATATGTATTTATATGTGTACATTCATATTTGCATAAATAAAAACTGGAAGGATGCACAAGAAACAAAAGTATGACCTGTAAGAAGTGGGGAGATAGGGACAGTGGTTGAAGCAAGATCTCAATGCATTTTTTAGAGTGTTTTGATTTTTGAATCATGTGAAGGTATTGGCTAACAATTTTTATTGGGTTAGGCTATGCATATTATTTTTCCAATTCTTCCTGATTAACTTTCCATTTCCTTAAACAATCTACATTTTGGGAAGATGCATAGTAGACAATCATACGTCATCTTTTAGTTTATTTTTTAGTTTCTTCTTGCAAATTTTGGTTGATTTGGGGCTGCTATAAAAGATGCTACAGTAAATGAACATCCTTGCACATAAATCTCGGTACATACCTTTTGTTTCCTTAGGAAATTGATGGGTCAAATGATTAGAACACTTTTCAGGTTGCAGCATGTAAAGTGTAGCTGCATCTTACACTTGTGTGATGGGCTCTGTGATGGCTCCTCATTGTGATCTGGGACAGCAGCCCTGGAGCTCAGGAGCTCTTTCAGTCATTTGCTGACCTCCACTTTGGTGCACATTAGAATTAATAAAGGAGATTTTAAAAGATATCCTGTCCTGTGATGAAGTCTGGGCCTCAGTGGATTTTAAAAGCTCCCAGGAAAGAGCCACTGGTATAATGGCTAGAGCAGCAGGTCTTAAGTCAGGCAGACCTGAAGTCATGTGGACTCGGGCATTACTCTGTGTTTACTCTTAGACATATTTCTTAGCTTCTCTGGGACCTAGTCTTCTCATCAGTGATATGAGCATGATACCCGTATGTGGTACAGTGAGAGCATTAGACATAAAGCATGCAAACTGCCTAGCAGAATTCCTGATGCTCACTAAGTGGTAGGCGCTTGTTGTTATTCAAACAAAGAAAAGATAGTAATCAAGCAAAACAGCTTAGTAGAACTTGATAGAGTCCATGCATTTACCCAGATAAGATTTCATGACTGATGAAAATATTGAGTTTCTAGCCTTTTGGGTGAACTGTATCATGTTGGTGTAGTATCTTTGGTTATCCCTTATTACTTGGATTTTCTAATTGGGAGTCATATGGGACTTTGACTAATATAAAGAAGAAATCAAATATTACTCAATTATGACCTGTGTGATTGACAGAAAGCCTTCAAAAAATGAAGTCTCTGAGGAAAAAAACTCCAAAAGAGTAGGGAGAGTTTATAAGGTGGAAATTCTGATAGTTGTTGCTTTGAGGCTTCCCTCTGTTACAGCTGAGAAGTGGATGGAGACTCTTGCTCTATAAAGACTATTGAGACACGAGTGTTTTTATGTGGAATTGTGTAAATCTTTGCCTAGTTTTCCATTGCACACCTGTGGATGCATCCTGTTGTTCTGGTATTCAGTTTATCCAACCCAGTGCCATGGACTTTAGTCACAGAAGCCCTATTGGTGGGTGGAGGTCAGCGTATAAAAGTCTTCCCAGCATAAAAATCGTGTGGCGGATTGGCCTATGACCCTCAGATTGTCCGAACAGCATAGGAACAAGGAGAGGAAGTGTGGACAGTCGAAGAGGCAGTCCTCTTCCCCAACTCTTAGCCTAATAAGGAGGGCAATTTTCCTGTTTTAGTTCAAACTAAAGTGACCTGCTTCTACTCTAGTAGCAAATAATGTAGAATTTAAGAGCAGAGCTCCTGCAGCCAGGCTGCTGGGTTCAAATCCCAGCTCTGCTTCTTATCAGCTGTCTAACTAAGGGGACTTCTTTACCCCTCTCTGCCTGTTTCCCCATCTATAAAACAGAGATAACTGTACATGTCTCACAGGATTCTTGTGAGAGTTAAAGAAGTTAACGTGTACTTAGCCCAGTACCAGTAAGCACCATACCAGCATTTGCTATTATTTCCTCATTCAGATGGTAATCACTGAATTTGTAAATTGCATTAGAATCCTGATATTATTTAATTTGAACACTTTCTTCTAAAGCTGGGTAGACTTAGACAATGTGACATGGTCAAGAACAAATGACACAGCTAGTTAGAGGCAGACCAAGGAGCCGAGGCTCTTACTATGGGGTGTGAGGTGTGACCTCTAGGCCAGTGTTTCTCCCACCACACTACATGGCAACCGTGCTGGGGTGGAAAATTACTGGACCAAAAAGGTTGTATAATGTGCATCCAACCCTAGAAATGCACCTGAACCTACCAGAGGCTTCCACAGGTGATTCTGAGGACCTCCAGGCCCATTCCGTCTAGGGGAGGAGCTGGGGCGTCAGAATGGTGCACCCAGAGAGCACCACCAACAGGCCTGCTCTGCCCGAGACTCTCAGTCCATTTCATTAGCAGCCCCCAAAAAGCAGCTGCAAATCTAGGACACAGGCTCTCAGAACAAAGTAGGATTTCCATACTGTTGATAACAAAGGGAGTAATTATGTTAATAATAGAGTAAATACATGAGGAGAAAACACAGATGCACACACAAGTCCTTAAGAGAATTCTCACTGACCCCTTGGAGGATTCCTTTAGTAGAGAAGCTGTGCAGGTTTTGGTTGTTTTGTTTTTCCCGGTGGACAGTGGGTGAAGGGAAAGCCACCTGATAGTAGGTAAGAAGATACCAGCTCTGACTTCAGAGTGACCTGGCTCTAAATGACTATTACTTGCAAAATAGTGACCTTGAGCAAGAACTTAATCTCTCCAAATCTATACACTGTGGACTATAATTGTACCTACCCCTGGGGGCTCTCGAGGATTATTGGGATCCTCTGGGTCATAGCAGAAACTCTCTGAGTCCCTATTCCATCCACATCTAACCTCTCTGCGAGGAAATAAGATTAGAGATGACTGTCAGTGCTTTTGTGTGTCTGTGGATCTACTATTCAAAAGTAGAAGTGCCAACAGTGGATGCTAATGCTGTTGAGGACGTGCCAGTACCAGGAATTATTAACTCATCTAATCCACACAACTCCAGGAGACAGGGCGCTGCAACTCCATTCTACAGATGAGGAAGTGATGGCACAGAGAGTTCAAATAGCTTGCCTGAGGTCACACAGAGGCTATATCAGACCCAGGATTCAAACCCAGGCACTGGGGGTTCAGAGTCCAGGGGCTTAACCTCTCTACTGTGAAGCCTTTTGGTGTGAGTCTATGTTTTGTGGGGTTACTGTGAGGACCAGGAAACAGAGTACTTGTGAAACACTAGTGTAGAGCTGGGCACACGCAGTGCAAGTCATGCTAGATGTTATACTGATGCCATCGGAAGGTCCCAGACCAAATGAGTGCGAATCTGGTGACTTGAAAGAGAAGTAACCTGGCTGCCTTCATTTGACTGTGGCTCCTCTTGGAGCCAGTGCCCCAAAGAAAGCGTCATGACCACTATCTCAGGGAAATAATTAGAGCTGTGGTGTTGACCATCATCACAGCCAACACTGGATTTGTTGGCTCAGGTGTCATGCTGCTTCTTACCTTGGATTTTCAGTTAGATTTCATCAAATTCAAGTACACACAGACAAATGTAGACTTTTGGCTTTTTTTTATTGTGCCTATAATGAAAAACAAAATATGGAATTCAACTAACAGCGATGGTGGCTTCAGGATGTGTAAAATGGAAGGGTTCAAGGTGGTCATCTGGTCACGTGGCCCTACAGGATGTGACTAGAGCTGCATGCCGTCTCTACTCGGAAGGCATGGTTATTCGGGTTGCTGGAGGAGCTGATGGAGATCATTCAGATAGTGGTGCTAAAGGACGACCTGGGGCCCTGCCACTAAGTAATGGCAGAATTCATTGCTGTTACAGAAAAAATGTTTCTGTTTCAAGCGGTTTGAAAAACCATCACAAAATAATGGCATAACAGAAAAGTACACATGTGAACTGACATAACACTAACCCAGAGAGAAAGCCCAGCTTGATGCTCAGGAGACAATTCCAGGGACAAAAAAATGATGAATAAATGTTGACTTCATTGTGCCACCATCTGTTACGAACTCTTTCCATCACCACAGACCGCTGCTCTCCTAAACAGGCAGAGGGCAATGATGGCAAGGTAGACCGCGCTCTTGACGAGTAGGAGGAGGTAGGTGTAATAGGCAGAGATGCTGGTGAGCTGCATCTGCACAGTGTCTAAGAGAAGTCATATGATTAGTTTCAACTGTTCTTTTGAAACGATGGGACATATCAATGGAGGGTGGTCACGGTTCTCTATTTCTGATGACCTGCATTGCAGTGAAACGCCATACCACCAAAACCCAAAAGTAAACATCTACCCCCTCTACCACCACAGACAGCAACAAGACAACACAGAATCCAGTTTACAGGTCATGTCAATCAACAACCTTTGCTAAATTCATTTAGAGCATTCCAAAATGCAAAAAATAAGGTTGTATTTTTAATGAATGAGTCTAATGGGAAAAAAAGCTTTGTAGTAAATAGTTTTTGTTTTTTTTTTGAGGAAGATTAGTGTTGACCTAACATCTCCCGCCAATTCTCCTCTTTTTGCTGAGAAAGACTGGCCCTGAGCTAACATCTGTGCCCATCTTCCTCTATTTTATGTGGGATGCCTGCCACGGCATGGCTGCACCTGGGATCCGAACTGGCGAACTCTGGGCTAAAGCGGAACGTGTGAACTTGATCGCTGCACCACTGGGCTGGCCCTGGTAAATAGATTTTTATCGATTCTTTACCCTCACCATGTCTCTAAGAGATAATAATAGCTAATATTCATTAACCACTAACCAAATGACAAATGCTTGTTCTGAGAGCTTTGCATACAAATCTTTACTGTTATTTAATTTTTATAATAAACTATGAGATTATTATTTTCATTCCCATTTTACACATAAACTGAGGACAGAGAGAGAAATTACTTGCCTGACATCATGCATTCACTAAGTACCAGAAGCCAGATTTCAATCCCAGCACCATGACTTTAAAGAACATACTCTTAGTGTTCTTTACACACTTCTGCAATTACTCACTTCTGTAATTCTGCTTCTCCAAGTGCAATTAATAGCCCAGATATCAAACACTTAACCCTAGATGTAAAGTGGAATCCCGATTCAAAAGCATTTGAACCATTACATGTTGTGCATGCAATGAGATTCCTACGAAGGGTACAATCCATGGAAATTCGGTGGTGTTCACGGTCAGGAGAGTGGGAGGGTTGAGTAAAGAGGGCTTCATATAAAATGGAAGAGAGTGGTTAATCCAAAGTCTCCAAAGTTTTAGGAGGTCATGGCTCACTCACCTGTCCTTCCTAAAAGTCTCTCATTGTGGCTATGAGGCTATAGGATAATTGCACTTTGAAGTTTGGCGAGAAATATATGATGTCAAGAAATAATTAACGACAATGACGGTGAGCCAGACGGGCTATTCAATGAACCACTAGGCTGTGTGTCTTCTTGTGGAAATTTCCCTTTTACGTGACTTATCTTCATACAGTCAGAGCTGCAGAATCATTAGCACTTGCTGTGGAAAGGGATCTCAGAGGAGATGTGCTCATAACTCCTTGACCTTGGTCAGGTGAGGTGTTAGCTGAGGTCCAGGGACCTCTTGATATTGGAAATGGAGGGAAGATCAGCAGGGCTAAAGCCAATGCTTCTAGTTACTTTCTTTGTACACATGTAGCAAGAAAGGGCCAGAAACTGGTACTTATAAATCAGAAACCCTACACTAGACGTTCCACATAAGGTGACCTTATCTCTTCAATAACTGAGTTAGGTTTAATTATTCCTGCTTGGCAGATGAGGAAAGTGTTGCTCAGAAAATTAAGTAATTTACCCATCTTTATGCAATTGATCATTAAAAGAACTGGGGTCAAGTCCAGTCTGGGATACTGTGAAACCCATGCTCTTACCCACCCCCCACCATGCGTCTGTCATGTCTCAGTGCCTTGGCTCTGAGGTTTCTTGCTCTAGGACTAAATTGTAGAGGAACAAGAGAGAATTGAATGAAGTGTCTGAACTCTGGATTCAGATGGGCGGATTAAAACCGCAGATCCAGCTGTGTGGCATAGTGCCAGGGACTTAATTAATTTTAGCTCATTGTCCTCATCTATAAAATGGGGAAAATATATTGTGCCACCTCGTAGAAGCATCATAAGAATTAAACAAGAAATTGCATGCAACACACAGCACAATGACTTCTATATTGGAAGCTCTCAGTACAGTCAGTTCATGTTATTAGCTACTAGCAAGGACCAAAGTCTTCAAAAAAAATCTAGAAGCACCATCATATTACATATTATTCAGTCGGTAGAAACAACAACAAAAAAAGCCACACAAATGAATGAAGTCCGTTATTGGCATAATTCAGAGCCTATCACTGCATGGTCTAATTTATAGCCATGTCATCCCCAAACCAGCATTTACTGTGTTACAATGACTCCTAGGAAGACATGGATTAATGTAAAGTATCACTCTATTCTGCAAAATGCAGCCATTCTTGTTTTTCTACCTTAAACCAAGGGAGTCCAAAAGTTAAGTTTATCCAGAGGAAAAAAATGCTATAGCATGGCATAAAGGCAAATATATACAAGAACTTACTGCTTTCATCTTTCCGACAACGTTTTGTGGTATTAGTAGCAGAGGACTCTAGAAGAAATGAGAGCAAATATTAGTCAACTGTTCATGCCTATTTATTTGTCATGATATATATGTATTCGAATGTTTGTTTGTATATACACACACACCTATATAAAATCTACCCAAAGAGAGACAGGAGAGACTCTCATTAAAAATATGAGCCCTACAATTCCGGGAATACTTGGTCTTGTCTCCTATGAACCAGGGAAGTTCAAAAGGTAATCGGATCAGAAGGGAAAAAATTGCTATAGCATGACAGGAAGGCAAGGATATACAAAAACTTACCACGTTCCTTTACTGGGGAAGCTTCTGTAGAAGGAGTATCAGGGAGACTTGAGTTGAGAACTAGAAGAAAGGAGAGCAAGTATTAGTCAATTATTCATGCCCATTATTTGATAGTGTATATATGTGTTTATATGTGCATGCGTGTATGCGTGCATGCACACACACACACACTCACACTCCTCTGACAGAGAGACTGTCCTTAAAAATGTGAGCCATATGATTCCATGACTAGTTCATCTGATTCTATGTAAGTCAGTAGATCTCATTCAGGTATTGTGTTTCTGCACGTGAAGATGTTGACCTTCACGAAGGATACACTTTTTTCTTCTTCGCAACTGGACTGTAATATCTAAGATTATCTTGTTTTCCTTCTGTATTCACAACTCCTAGCACAGTGTCTGCCACAAAAAAGGGTGTTGGAGAAACACTTGTCGAATGGAAAAATGAGCATAAAATATGGCTACTCTGCAGTCTTCAGCACACGCTGCTGACATGAAGAGTTACTACCAAAATCAATCCATCAACTCTCAGAATCCACAACAGAATTTCACGTTTGAAGGAGTGTAGTTTAGACACATTTCCCATGAGAGCAAAGGAATCAGGCATACCTTTCCAGAGCATGCATATCCCAATATCCCCAACTCATGCCCATGATCTTCCGGAGTTGTGGGGTTTGTGGACATGACAACAATATGAATAAAGCTCATAGCTATTGAGTGATTACTACTGTGCCAGGCGCTATGTTAAATGCTTCACATGCATTATCTCATTTAATGCTCCAGTCACACTGAAATAAGTTGTAGTTTGGAGGACTACTTGTTGCGAACAAGGAATAAGGTTGGGAGGATAATTTGCTGAGAGTCATACCAGTGAGCGCAGAGCCAGCATTCAAAGGATCATTGCGGAGGATTCAGTGAGATGGAGCATGGAAAGGATTTTGTAAAAATAATCCATAGACATAGAAAATAATCTAGAGAGGAACACCATAATTCCACCATTGTGGACACTAAAAACATCTTCTCTTCCAGATATTTTAATTACTCTCAGCAAATGACCTTTTTATCACAGGAGCTCAGCATTTCAGTGCAATTCTTTCTAAAGATAGAAAGATAGGCCAAGTCACTTTTATTCTTCACAAAATATATACAACCTGAGGTGAGACTTATCCACAATGTAAAAAAAAAAGAAAGTAAATCTACAAAGATAAAATTGTTTTAAAAAGATTTTAAAGATAATTGGATGGAGTTGACTGTTGGATGGAGGAAAACAGTCGAAGCCACTGTTTTGTTTCATCCTTTTTCTTTTAGATGTCTTCTTGTGCATATGGATGTGGTTCTGGTATGCAAATTTATGCACTCAGTGAAATCTTTTTTTGGTAGATCTGAAACTCAGTTTGAGTTACAGAATTTGGAATAAATTCCAAGAATGAAAATGTTAGCATAATCATGTTGAGATGTTAAAATATCTTCAAGAACTGACTTCAACATGTCTTAAAAGTCTCTTTAAAGGCGACTTATTCATTAAAAGCTAAATCAAAATCACTTATTACCACGTACTGACTGAGATAAAGACAATAAAGTAACAGTTTTTCATAATAAAATATGGGTATCTATCCAAAGTTCTCTTTCTCAATAAACACTGGTCAAAAACTGGGTGGAGATTAATTTTATCTCTTCAAAATCACTTCATTGATCTGTGTCTCAAAGTTATATTCTTAGCTTTTATAAAAAACTAAAAACTTCCAAGAGACAGAATTAGAAGTTTGCTGCCCAATGGCATTGAAAGAAATGTCCTCATTAACCTTGTTGCCCTGAGAAGCCCAGGGAGACATTTGTTTCAAAAATTAGGCACCAAGTAAAACACATTCTGAACTGGAACTTCTCTAGGATGATCATCATCGTGGAACTTACTGTACTTTTTCTTTTTCCCTGATCTCTAGAAAAATCACAACCAAATAGGACACTTCAGTCCAGTGTTTATATTAACTTGTAGTTTGCGTATTTTCTTCCCCTCTGTTTCTTAGCTGTAGAAATAGTAAATTAATGCTACTCTTTTAATCTTACTGTAGTTAGTTTTAGGAAAGGATATTAAAAAATACAATAAATACATAAATAAATACTCCATGTTATGTTTTCACAAGCAAGTGTTTTCACTGACGTTATTTCATTTGCTCTTCATCACGGCCCCAGAAGAAATTCAGGGTAAGAGTTTGAACTGGACTTGTTAATTGGAGACTCTGAGGCTCTCAGAAGATAAAGACTGACTTCAGAATTCAGACTGGTACACAGCAAAGGCCTTTGCATGTTTTGTTCTGTGCTTGTTCCCCATGGCTTCTAAAGGGCTCGTTAACCACAGGTAAAAGTACAAACAGATTCCTTCCTATTTAGAGGTGCTTTGGGGCCTTTGGTCTATTGTGTTCATACTCGGGACTTAAGTCCTGAGTCTAAAGAGTTCCTGGACCACTGGCAGGACCCAGGCCCATTGAGCCCTCTGCCCACACTGTCTGAATATGCACAGCCTCTGCATCATAGAAACTCCTTGGGGACATCATGCCTGAATCACCAGTGACACTCAGTGATTAGGAAAAGAATCTCTTCTCTTACCATAGTGCGTCCACCTTGGACAGTAAGTCATCCTAGTGTCCTCATCCACACATCCCTTCCAGGCCTGGCACAGGCCAGTTCCACAATAAATGTTTGCTGAGTTGCGTTTCCCAATAGCCAGAAAGACATTCGTTATGTAAAGTGGAAGCATGTGTGTACACATTAGCCTTTAATTATAAAATTCTACCTTATGCTGGTATATAAAATACAAATCTGGAAAACCTGAGACCATAATCTAACTGCAGTAGTCAAATTATGTGATTTTTTGTTGAGCCGCTCCCTGGTTTCCTCAAATGAAGACCATTTTGTCACCTGCTAACATTTTTTTTGGGTTATACTTTGTATATAGCAAGATGAAAGTGACAGAGAGTTTGCTTGCTCAGTAGAACATTCCTGAAAGATGATGATTATTCTTATTTCCTGATCAAATAAGATCCTCAAAAGTGAAGTCTCTTTTTGAGGATTTCTTGTGTGCTGAGTGCCTAGGCGATTTCATGTATCTTCGTTCATTTAATCCAAACAACTACCCTAAAATACATCACTATGACCTTAATATTTTGGATGATGTAACTCAGGCTGAGAAAAGTTAAGGAAATTTTTCTTTTTCTCTTTTATGTTCCAAAGCCTATGCTATTTTAATTCTATGGGGAAACAGAGGGACATTTATGCTACAATAAATGGAACAATATTTAAGAAATATTTATATTTGCTTATTTTTCATTAATACTTGACAGAAAAGGTGGGGTATCCCTTTGAAAAAAAATCTTCGGGGAGGTTATGTTTAAAATACACGTACCTTCATTCACTGATGGGAAAAGAATCTCTTGGTCAACCCCGTCTTTATTTTTCTCGTGTTGGACAACACATTTGTGTTCTTTATCCATTGACTTTCCAGTCACGGTCAGCCAGCTGAATTTCATGTAAGTGTTATCAGTCTTCATGGTATTTCCCTGCTGGGATTGCGGGATTGTATTGCCATCCTTTTCTTTCCAATAGATCTTAATAACCTCAGGGAAGAATTTCTCAAGAAGACAAAGATATGTTCCAGCCTTATGGAGCTTTATTTCAGCAATTGAAGGAAGAAAAATGGTGGGTTTAGGGGAAATGTCTGCAGGAAGGCGTACATCTGTGGGGGAAAATGGAATAGCAATTAAAAAGAATCGTTAGACAAGCATAAACATCCTGTGGTTTGGAACAACCTAGCGCGTAATAAAAGGAAGAAAACTGCCATTAGAGTCGTGTTTACCATGGCCTTTCTTACACCATAGGTTGTGAGGTATTTATTGTTCTTATTTTCAATGGGAAGAGAGATTCCAGAGGTTATGTAACTTACCCAAAGTCACAGCTGTTAAGTGGCAGAGCCTGGAATAAAATTTGGCCTTTGGTCTTTCACCACAGGCTACGATGGGGGATGAATTTTAACTGCTCCATTTCAAGGCATTTAACATTCATGGACACGTGTGTTTTTTTAAGTCTGTTTTGTTCTATCATAGTGGACATGTTTTCAGGGTGGGTGGGTAGATGGCAGGGATGGGGGAGGAGACCAGTAACGTTGATGATGCCTCTACACATGAGAATGTTTGGTCTCTTCTAAAGTACTTCCTTTTCCCAACCTGTGAATTTTATAGTTTATGGTCTCTTTGACCAAATAACACATTGTCCCGTTCTGCAACTTTGTGAAAGCTCACTCTTCATTCAACTGTGTCTGGAAGACACCATGTTTCTCTTATTTGCCAGATAAATAAATATCAGGAGGAAGTTTTTCATTCTTCTAAAACAATGCACAATCACTTGTTGATGGGAATCCAATTCTATGTGTACTTGACAATCAAGTTGACTCTTAGCTCACATGTGGATCCCACGTTCAGTTCTGAGGTAACGGAGTTCTCCTACTTGATGCCTCCTCTTATATGTCATCTCAATTTCACACGTGAACCAGCACTGGTTTTTGAGTCAGGCAGTATTAACGCTGGACCTCCAAATTATTTGCAATGCAAAATAGCAAAATTTCTAAGACTTCTATTAAAAATTTATTATTTTTAGAAATGTTAATATGCTAATTTTATTAAGTAAATGCACCTATGAGAATTTTCTTTCGCTTTACAAAATGTTCTCCAAAAGCCCGTTTTATTTTGGAATTTTGTTTGAAATTTAAGCATGATGAGGAATGACCCACATTTTGACTCTCAGTTTCTCCCCCCAAATTTGTATGTAGACTAAAAGCCTGCTGAAGTGTTTTAGATCTCCACTATTTTCTTCGTTATCACCTCCTAAATAAACTATATATATTATTGGTGTAATTTTAAATGTCATAGTTCTAGAGACTCTTGCAGATATAATGTCAAAATTTACAACAAAACGTCATAGTTTACAAAGGCACATCACTTGGAAGCTGGAATGTTAGTTGATTATACATTTACTGTTAATCTAATGATGGAAATTATAAATATTAAAACTCTTTCCAGTTTGATTTCCAAGTGACACACAAGTGCTTTCCTAATATTCTCTTTGGGCTAGTTTGGAGTTAAATAATTCAATGGGCAATCTTAAGAAAAGAAGAATCAAATTTCTTATTTGAGAGGAAAAGAGCAAAAATTCTTGAGAAGTTCTGCCTATATAGCAAAGCTCCTGATTTTGATAGTAAATCAGTAAGCAAACAGTGTTGAGTATTTTAACTCATGCTGTAAATACAATTAGGTCATAATGTGCTGATTTTAATTTTATACATCTTGTTAGTGTAAATGGTATTTTATTGATTATGTTAGTAAGACTCTTTCTCCAACCTTATGCTTTGTTTTTAATTTAAAAAGCATGTTATAGGGGCTGGCCCAGTGGCGCAGCGGTTCAGTTTGCACGTTCTGCTTCTTGGTGGCCCGGGCTTCGGACGGTTTGGATCTCGGGTGCAGACAAGGCACCGCTTGGCAAAAGCCATTCTGTGGTAGGCGTCCCACATATAAAGTAGAGGAAGATGGGCGTGGATGTTAGCTCAGGGCCAGTCTTCCTCACAAAAAGAGGAGGATTGGCAGCAGTTAGCTCAGGGCTAATCTTCCTAAAAAAAAAAATAATAAAAAATAAAAAGCATGTTATGTAAAACAAGATTAATTTTTCAATCATACATTACATTTACATAATTTTAGTCTTTAGTCAATATATTAAAGAATCTAATTTTCATCTTAGGAACTTTTGTTTTTTTGTAGGAATACTTCTGATACATTATACTAAAGAAATTGAGAATCAAGAGATGAATTGAAAAATTTCTGTGTGATAACACAATATTGTTACCTCCTGTCCCTTTTCCTTAGCTAGATTCCTTAGGTTTCATTCTTTTCAGGATAAAGTGAATCTTGAATTTCCATAACTTTCTCAATATAATAGTTAACTGAGCATTAAATAGTGTGCTTGTGTATATATGGTTAGTATCTATATTTTAAATAATTATATTACATGTTTTTTTCTTTAAGCATTCTTTTTAAAATTCATTAATGGTGTATTTTATGGTCAAAATAATTTTCACAAGGCATAGAATAGAAATCAAGTAAAACAATAAATAAATCTGTCTAATTAATTTATATACATTCATCTGCATAATCAAATAATACATTTGGTTGAAATCGCCTGAGTTGCCCATATTTTATTAAAATGCAGCAGTATAAATTCCACATAAATTTACCAAATGTCAACTATATTTTTAATTGAAAATATGATATCGCAAACCTATGTATTGACATTGATTTGTGTTCTCTAGTTTCTCCTTGTATTTTTTATTTTATTAAATAGTTATAGCTATTTCATATTTAAATATGTATTTCAGGTTTATACGAAGTTCTACTATAGTTGATTTTACATCCTGCTCATGTTCTTTATGAATTTAACTTTTTTCTGATAAATATGAGCATGAAGCACAAACATATTGGCTATTAATTTTAAGGTCAATAAATGTTGGTGTTAGAGATGATATCAATTAAAATAAAGGATTAAGAGTTAAAGCACATAGAACAATAACAAAGTAAGAAACAGGCACATTTAGTCCCAATTTTTCTTGTCAAGTGATGGAAAATTCTGCTAAGGATAAACAAACACCTCCACACTCATTTCTGTGTGTGTGAGTGGACAGTAAGGTGACTTTCCATTTGAGCAGCTGGAAGTACAGCTGAATCCTCTGGAGAGTTGCTGCTGTGTCAGTGTCGTTGGCTGCAACCACTCTCCAGGCTGGATAGGGTTCTCCCTTCATGTTGGAATTGGAGGAACATGTGTCTAGAGCCTATTATGTGTGGGCCAATATGCCAAGTACTTTATTCACTCTATTTCATTCAATTCTCATTCAACCCCTGCTGGATATATACTGTCATCCCATTTTGTGCGTTAGGAAACTGAGACCAGAGAATAATCGCCAGTTCGCATACACAGGATGTAAGTGGTGGAGCCGGGTCAGCCTGACTCCAAAGCCCAGGCTGTTGGACAACACCCTCTCACCGTTAGAAAGGAAATGTGTCAACTCACAAAACTTACCTGTACTCATAAACTTTGTCCATTGGCCAAACACTCATGAAAATTACATATGTTATATTTGAGTCCTTTATGTAAGTCCACCTGTACACAAAGCCAATTCCTATTTCAATATTTGCACAATGTTGTCTATGCTGTTCTTTGTCATGAGGATTTGTTTTAAAACCTTGCCTGGGGCTTGCCCAGTGGCAGAGTGGTTAAGTTCGCTCACTCCGCTTCATGGCCCAGGGTTTCCCCGGTTCTGGTCCTGGGCAGGGACACAGCACCGCTCATTAGGCCATGCTGAGGTGGCATCCCAAATGCCACAACCAGAAGGACCCACAACTAAAAAATATACAACTACGTACCGGGGGGCTTTGGGAGAAAAAGGAAAAAAAATAAAATCTGTAAAAAAAAAAACCCCAGAAAACCTCACCTAAGATTTCTACCTCTAATCTCCGTCACATTCCAGTTTTTTCTAAACATTCTTTATTATTCCAATTTAATTGCTTCTTGCCTTTCCTCTATTAGCTTGAAAACTTCTATTCTGATACCTACCCATGACAACATTTTGTTCCAACACTGAGGACTTTTGTATAATAATTCCACGGTGATCAACCCATATCAAAAACTTGACTAATTTCGCTTCTCTGAGTTCTTCAAATTCTAGGGAACTATGTGGCCTGAGACTCAAGAGACCAGGGTTCTGGTCCTGGTGCATTTTGCTCATAAGTTCTGGGGCTGAGAAATCAAGTAAATGAAAGTCTTTGGTGCTTTATTTGTTTGAAAACAGTGATTTTAGTGTAAATCAATTCAACATCCCTGCCAGAGTTGAAGTGAGACCAAAATGAAACAAGATCTGCAAAGCGTTTTTTGAATTCAAATGCTATGGAAATAGAGGTTATAATTATTATTATGGTCATTAGTATCATTATCATTAACATTTTGTTTGTGAGGATTGTGTGCTCCAACATGACATTTTAGACTCATGGGACCAAACGTTGTCCTTACTAATAGGGATTCAGTATTTTGGGGTTGCAATTAGATGGTGGCAATGAAGCGTGAAGATTTGTCCCTTCGCTTGCATTCCACTTTGCTCTAATAAGCCTGGATTTCTCAAAGCCATCATCAGAGGAAACGTGCCTTTCACTCAAACAATTAATAGGCAATCACTGTCTTGTCTTACTGCTCCATTCCCAGTGTTAGAAAATCAAAAAAAAACGTTGGCTAAAGCCTAATAATATGCAGTCAGTATGTGGAACTGCTTCACTTGCGTTGTTCAAAACAAATGGCTCTTTTCTCTAATCAACAACACAATCTTTTTTGCATTCCAAGTTTTCACCAGAAATTTCAGCCTCGAACTGACATCTTTCCAGCTTATGGGGAGAGTTGAACTTGAAACTCCTGGCAGTGGGCCTTCAAAGCAGAATGACTGGAAAGATGACAGGACACCTGTCCTCAAATCCTCCTACTGTCATATTAGACACTAAATGTTACCTGCCTGACCATATCTGCTGAGGGTCACCACCTGTGGATAACATTCAATGTTACGGCTGTGGTGGGATAAAACGGGTTTGCTGAAAGACCATTTCTTCCATTAGATTAAATGGATATTAAAGGCAATGTCCATTCTATTACTTC